CAGATATTTGTGTAAAAATGTAAGGAGTAGAAGTAAAAAGTCGCCATAAAAATAAGTAGTAAAGTAAAGTAAAAATATCAGAAAAATCTACTTAAGTACAGTAAGGAAGTATTTGTACTTCGTTACTTCCCATCTCTGGAATCCACCATTGAAGCTGAAACAAAAACAGCAAAACACAGTTAGAGGGTGCAAAGATTTGAATGTAACACTTCACAATAAGGTACACCAAATTTGATTAACTACCAGAGAATGCCCAAGAAACTAATCAGAACCTAAATGGTAGTTAACCTGTACTTACTGGGGGACACCCAGCCCAGCCTTATTATGGGACTACTGCTTAGTTACCTGGGAAACACATAGTAAATCATCAGCAACTAATGGGTATTTAACAGCTACTGATTAGGGGCTTACTAGTAATTTACCACAAAGTTGGAGTAGAAATGATCGGTGTGTTTCTGAATAAACCTTAAATCTGTGAAGTCATATGTTAGAAAAATTACTTTACTTAAAAAAAATATTGTCTAGCTATTATTCAATAGACTTTGTTGAGGAAACATCATATTGAGTGAGTAGTTTCGAAGGGACTAATACCTACGTAATCAATGCATGACTGTTATCTAATGTTTTTTGTGTATCCTAAAGTAAAGTGAAACTCTATGTTCCCCAGGGAACTGAACAGCACTCCCATTCTAAGAAGGGCTGGATGTTCCCCAGTAAGTACTGGTCAGCATTAGTACCTGATTAGTTTCTTAGGTGTTCTCTAGTAGTTAATCAGTTTTGTGTATCTTATTGTAAAGTGTTTTAAAATTGGCGGAGGTATACATTTCATTAGGCCTCGTAAACGAGCCCCACCCGCCAGCGGCCAAAATAATTTTTTGCCTAATCTCACATTTTAGTCTAGTTTACCAGGCTACATTTCAGCAGGTCAACAGCCTAAACATAAATCCAAATACTCCTCTCTCTTTAAGTGTTTATTTGGTAGGGGCATGCACTGAGAGTTTTAATAATGTTGACATAATGAGTTGGTGTTTTTCTCTTCTTTCCATTTCATAGTAATTAGCCTTGTATTTGTCTGTAGTAAACATTGACCAAAAAGGCTAAAGGTTTTTCTGTGGTAATAAAAAATAAAAGATATAAGAGAAATGGGGATTTTACCAATGCTCTGTTGTAATATACTACTGTTGTAACATCATTTTCAAAAAAAGGAAACAGTTTTTTTTTTATTATTAGTATTTCTAAATAAACTGCGAAACCATGTGAACAATTACACATTAGCATGTGAAAGCACCACAGGGGGAAAAGAAACTAAATGAATGAGAAAAAGCAAAGACATTTGAAAATAGAAGAATGCTATATGAAGAGGCTTGTTTCAAGCATGATGTTGATTTTCTTTTAATGCAACACTTCCATCATGTGGCTCAAAGACATTACTACAATTAATGTAGACTGATTCTTTTTGACAAACTGAATAATGTGTCTGCAGTGTTTGCCCTTTGGTTTTTTAGAAATGTGTTCCTCTTTATGGTATCTGAGCTGCACGCCACTGCAAGAAGATACCAAAACATCACCGCATTTCAACAAACAAAGGGCTTGGCCAAGTTTCCAGTTGAATCCAACTTCCCCTTATGCTCTTATTAGTGGGCGACAACGACGTCAGGCGAGTGACACCAGCATAATGCCTTTCTGTAGGGTCCAGCTGGTGTTTTAGATTCTGATTCAAAAGGTAACTTTCAGCCTAATTTAGAGACATGGCAACAGTGTGAGTTTCACTTTCAGATGTGGAATGAGGAAGAGGCAGGTCTTAAGCTCTCAAGCATATCTGCAAAAATAACAGATGCAGAGAAGAGAGCTTTGTTGCTGAAATATTGCAGTGAGTACTTCTAGCTTTGTTATGTCTTATAAGTTCTTCTTTTGATTTTGTGTCATGAGTTCTGTATTTTTGAATAACATAATTAATGGGATGCAGTCCCTGTTTGTATCAACAAAATCTGTCAAGTCTGTATATGGAAAAATTGTCTGCTTGGAAGCTTGCTCATCAATGGATGACTCTTGCTGTAGTAGAAACTGTGTTTTGTCCTTTGTGACAGGATGTTACTGTACGCCTGAGGCAGTAGAAGTATGACTTGACTGCCAGGGCATGCCAGCTGAGGTGAGAAAGACATGCTTTCCCAGGAGGTTTTACTGAAACAACGTGCTGAAATTCTTCACGCCCTCTGCAGCAGTGGGTCATCTGAGCATCTCGAAAGAGTTGTGGATATGCTGCTCGCCCAAGGGGAGCTCGGATGGGAGGATTATCAAAATGTGCTGGTACCAGGAAGGACCCTTTATTGCAATGCAAGGCAACTGCTCGACCTGGTTTATACGAAAGGTGCCGAAAGCTGTGGGCTCTTCTTTGCTGCTGTCAAACAGGTCTTGCCGGAAGCACAGGGAGCTGGTTTATTCTCTTCAGAATTCCCTTCCAGTTCAGATGACAGAGAAAAGCCTCAGAGAACATTTACCGAGGCACTCTTGACTCAAAGGCCAAGTCTCATCAGCAAACTCCAAGGCTGCCTTGATGGTGTTCTGGCAGCTCTTGTGGAATCAGGTCACTTTTCCTCCTCAGATTGTGACGGAGTCCAGCTGCCTATTCACACCCCCTCCCAACAGGTACAGTAACCAATCAATCAATAAATCAACCAAAACATTTTAAATTCAAAGAAATACTTTAACATACATATTCAATATTCACCCAAAGTGCTGCACAGGTGAATATAAATACAATATATTATAAAAAAACAACACAATAATAAAAAAAAAAAACAATCCAATGCCGAAGACCTAGATCTACTGACTATTTTCTCTGAAGTCAAAACTAATGTAGGACAGGTTCTTAAAAAGAGCTTTAAATCCATTAAGAGGTCTAGCAGACCTCACAGAAGGAGGGAGACTATTCCAGAGCTAGAACTAGACACCAATCAATTTTATTAAACATATTACATTTTCAGATCTTAGTAGTCCATTCTAGAAAAGATTAAAGCATCAATGACCTATCATGAGGGGGATAAGGACTTACATAACTGTTTGGTATGATGAGGGAAACTTAACAAGTAAACTACACTAATTATATTATTATCAAAAACACGAAAAGATTCTCCCAAAAAGAAGAGTAGAATGAGGCTGTTGCTGAAATACATCTGCAATGTCAGAATTACACTTTCTTATGATATTTGCTTCGCAATTTTTTACTCAGACCTAAATTAGTCAAGGCTCACTAAACTGTAACTTTAGTCAAGATATTTTTTCACATAACTCCTTGAAACCACCATTTTCTTTTACAGCACTTACACCACCTTATGATGTAAAGATTTAGGAATGTTCACTAATTTAAGCAGCTTTTTCCCTAATGTCAAGCTGTTACTTACAGTAGACCTTTATGATCGTGTTATTGTCATCTGCCTTGCGTGTGTAACAGGCAAGGCGTCTACTTGATCATGTCAGATCCAAAGGAGAGTCGGCAGCTGCTGTCGTCCTGCAGTATGTTGAGCACACCCAGGAATCTCGTCCAACCCTGGAGGAGACATCTCCAACCCTTAACAAAGGTGTGTTGCCAGCAGTGGCTGAAGTTTCAGCCCTGTTCTTTTTTTAAAGAGCACCAATAAAGTTATGTTTGGATTCATAAAATGATGCAAGGTTAAATGTTAGTGGGGCCGGTTTGTATGGTTTTATAGTTGGTAAATACACGCAGAGAAAACAGGTGAAATGTTTTGACCTTCTAAAATACATTCATGACTAATCTGGTTGTATGATTGCGCTCATTCAACCAATCAATGGTTCAAATGTTGCTTCCATGTGAGTTCTCTCCTCTTTATTGAATCACCAAGAGGACCAGTCCCTTCAGCAAAACACCTAAAACATGATGCTGACAGTCCAGAAAAATGGCAGGGTGTTCTTAGGCTTGCGCGTTTTTTTTTTTTTTTTTTTTTTATACAGTGTCCTGTCTGGCAATGTGGCAATAAGAATAATTGTCTTGATGCGAAAAAGAGCCCAACGGATTTTACTTTCACAAGTGGAGCAGTATGGCTATCGCCATAGTGTTCCGCTTGTTTTATGCATATAAATTGCTTTATTGGGCTGCTCAGTGGAAGTGGGTGGCACTGCTAGCCTGACGTAGTCCGACTCAATTCTAGTCAGAATGAGTCTGATACTGCTCCATAGAGCTGTGATTCTGGGTCGTGTTTC